AATGCATTTTCGGCTTTAAAGCGGCCGCCATTTGGCTATCGTTAATAAGATCATGAAACAAATGCACATACATATTTGTGACATGATGTACCTTGTGTGTGTGAAGTTTGAACTCGATCAATCCAAGCATGTCTCGGATACGGATCCAGAACTGAATTCTTTAAAACAAAATGGCCGCCAGTCGGCCATTTCGAACCCGATCCAAAAAAAAAAATGACGTGCATCAAGGTCCTATTATGTTTAATGTATGTACTAAATTTGAACAAAATCCGTCCATGCATAACTGAGATCCGGGTCCGGAATGGTGAAAATGTGCGATTTTGATGCATTTTCGGCCTTAAAATGGCCGCTATTCGGCTATCGTTAATCGGATCATGAAAAAAATGCATGTGCATATGTCCCATATAATGTGTGATGTATGAGTGAAGTTTGAACTTAATCGGTCCATGCATGTTCGAGATACAGGTGATCACGGACGCACGGACGGACGGACGCACACAGGGCAAAACATAAGTCCCCGTTTTCGGACTGCGTCCGAACGGGGACTAACAATGTAGCTATAGATTTTTATGGTGGGAGGTGTTCTCATTGCCCGATATTGAATGGTGTTTACTCTGACGTTCAAAACAAATATTGGCCAAATTAAAACTGGGTGTGCTAGTTTCTCATAGCATTACATGCAAAAAAATAAATACGAAGAAAACATGGTTATGAATAATAAAATCAATAAATCAAATGAATCTCCCCCACAATATTCTGTTCCTATACTGAGATGTTTATTTTCAGTTAGATGAATGATAACCACTTGTTCAAAGTATGTTTCTTTTCCCATAAAAAGAGTTTGTTATTACAAAGACATTAGAAAATGTCTTTGGTTATTACTAACACTTGCTGAAGCAAATTTATAAATTTTGCTCTCTGGTGGTAAACTGTATGAATTACTTTGTTTTTATGAAAACTTTGTGGAAAGATATTACTTGTTTCTTTTTTCATAAAATAGGAGTTTCCTGTTCCAGTCTGTTTGTCCAAAACAATGAAGACGTTGCATCTCACATTTTCTTTCCAAATACGCATCAATGTTGTCTACAACATCATCTCTTATTTTTAGCGACTCAAAATGTGGAAAATAATCATTCCCAAGTTTCAATTTCTTCACTCTCTTCACGGCTGACTTGTAACATTTCCAGGGTTGCGGTTCTATGATTAGAAAGTCAGTTAATTTAGAAATAGTCAAAAGGAACTCTTCCAAACCAGTGTCTCCGCCATGTAAATGGATCCACATAGTCACTGAAAAACATGATATAATATCAAATCTTGTTCTGTTGTGTTTGTTCAAATACTGTCTAAATGCTGCATTTGATGCGACTTCATCTGTAACATCTAAATTTATAAACGTGATATTCTGTGGGTATGGGTTTGACTCGTTGGCTCTTTGAATGAGTGTGTCATCCATATCACACCCAAGGATCTGCAGATCGTTAACTGCATTCTGAGATGATGTACATTTCTCATCTCTTTTCAAATGATTGTAGAATTCAACTGTCAAATCCTGAAAAACATAAGATTTACAAGATTTGAAAAAATCTTTGCGTGGGGAGTTGGTTGATTATGAATGAAAAGTCGTAATGTACACATGGTTTCATTCATGAAAATCAAGACAGCAGGATACTATAAAATGACTAATTTTCACTCTGTTTAAATTTCGCTGATTTACCTTTTCAAATTCACAGTTTTATCGTTTAGATAATGTGTTCTATGCTAAATTTTACATATTCACTGAGTTTCAATCTAGCACATTTTCCAGTCAGCAAAATAAGCAAAATTAAAACCTGGTGAATATATTTAATCTTGCAGTATATTAAACAATTGGTTTGAGGTTGATCAATACAGTTTCATTCACATACTTTGTGGATATTGTACCCAAACTTGCATACAGTCTCTTATTTATTTTTTGGTGTTTCTCAATAAAATAGAATATGGGAGTACAAAAATGGCGAAAGCTGGGTTAGGACAAAATAAAAATGAACCTGGCTTTGGTGTCAAGACGATCCGATCGGGCTCTGATTGGTTGCGGCTTTGGAAAAAAAAAAAAAGATGATCTAGAAATCCTGGCTTTCACCATTTGTACAGTCCCATGATTATAATTTATTGAAAAAAAAAACACTAAGAAATATACAACAGACAGTGTACAAGTCTAGAATATATCACTTCCAAGTGACATATATACTTTTGTTTGAGATAAATATGATGTATTGATTACAGAGTCAATACATGGGATTCTCTTCTCAAGCAAAAAATCAAACCACTTCAAACCAACCCATGTTCACGAAGGTAACTGGACAACTGGACCCCAAGACAACTGGACCCCAGACAACTGGACCCCGAGACAACTGGACCCCAGTCAACTGGACCCCCGTATACGTGACGGGGTTAACCAGTGACGGCACTGACGGGACGAGGTTGTCTAGATCTGTAAAAAGATCGATTCATTACCGTTCCACGCGACCCCGGGACTTCAAGATTTATTAGACTATATCAGATCAACATGGTTAGACAGCAGCGTATGGCCCCCATCAACATGGAGTGTATACAACAAGAGTGTACGTACTAATAACGACGTTGAGGGCTGGCACAGGCGTATTAATGCAAAGGCTGGACGTTCACATCTGCAGTTGTACGCGCTTATCCCGTTTATATATAGAGAAGCAAGATTGGTTTCGATTCAAGTGAGATTGGTGAAGGAAGGAAAACTGAGAAGATATCAGCGAAAACAGTACAAGCGGATCCAGGGTAAATTATTTAATCTATGGGAGAAGTATGAGCAGAGAGAAATATCTACATCAAAATTACTACGCGCATGTAGTAAAATCAATGGTCCAGGTCTGTAGGTATTAGCCAATTCTGTAGGTGTCAACCAAACCAAACGGCCCTTTTCAGGGCCACCACATCCTCCAAAAAGAGATATACCGTACCAAAACAAACTAACTGCAGAACAACTAATGAGGTAAACAACGCGTACACAATGGGGAAAAGTGTTTAATTATATTGCAGCA